TGGAATTCAACGAAAATTAATGGGAATCATCAATATCAAGAGGAGATGCGCATATCGTCGGCTTGTTCCGGTCCGACCCTTTAACTCAGAGTTATGGCCCTTGATTAGTTATGTAGTATGCATATAGAGTAAAAATCGTTTCCGCACTACTTCTCTGCAACTACTGGCTGGAATTCAACGAAACTTTATGGGAATCATCAATATCAAGAGGAGATGCGCATATAGTCGGCTTGTTCCGGTCCGACCCTTTTAACTCAGAGTTATGGCCCTTGATTAGTTATGTAGTATGCATATAGAGTAAAAATCGTTTCCGCACTACTTCTCTGCAACTACTGGCTTGAATTCAACGAAACTTTATGGGAATCATCAATACCAAGAGGAGATGCGCATATCGTCTGCTTGTTTGGGTCAGACACTTTAACTCAGAGTTATGGCCCTTGATTAGTTATGCAATATTCATATGGAGTAAAAATCGTTTCCGGAGTAGTTCTCTGCAACTACTAGCTGGAATTCAACGAAACTTTATGGGAACCTTCAATACCAAGAGGAGATGCGCATATCGTCGGCTTGTTCCAGTCAGACACTTTAACTCAGAGTTATGGCCCTTGATTAGTTATGCAGTATCCATATAGAAAAATATTTGTTTCCTCGCTACTTCTCTGCTACTACTGGCTGGAATTCAATGAAACTTTATGGGATACTAAGAGGAGATGTGCATATAGTGGCCTTGTTCCAGTCAGATACTTATAACTCAGATTTATGGCCCTTGATTAGTTATGTAGTATGCATACATCTCATTGACATTTCCAGATTGTACTATTTAACACAAAGTTATGGCTCTGTTATTGCCCTGAATATTTATCAAGTTCAAAGAATATTACTGTTTATGCCATGATAAATATATAAATAAAGCCTTATGTCTTCAGTTGTTGTGTTAATAATAACCAGTACTCGGCGGGGGATATAAATTCAACGAATTTGCTTGTTCAAATAAAAGCCCTGGGGTTTAAACTGGCCCCGCTTCGGGGGCCTATATACAGGTGAGCGACCTTAGGGCCATCATGGCCCTCTTGTTGTATATTTAGAAAGTCACTTGAAAACAGATTACATGTACTTCCAAATGTATGGAAAGATGCAAGAGTATCGCCAATTTTTAACAAGAGCTGTGGGTAGGACAGCAACGCTCGACTATTCTTAGTGCTTGATAGTAAAAAAGCCTTGATAATGTAAAATTTTCTAAGTTAACAAAAGGACAAAATTTTTCTTTAAATCCATGTTACAGTTATAGGCCTTGGAGAGTCAGTCCTATTATGCTCTAAAAGAAGAGTATAAAATTTTCAACTTGTTTCAAAGCCATATGTCAATGGACTTTAAAATATTTTGAGGTATTACGAAAACTTTAAGGTAAATTCTAAGTCAAAAAAGGCGCATAATTCTGTCAAAAATACTTAAGGTATTACAAAAAAACTTTAACATAAGTGGTTTAAGCCGACGCCAACGCTCGGGGTACTACAATAGCTCTACTTTATTCTTATCGAATAGTCGAGCCTAAAACAGGAACAAAAACGGAATCCTAGTAACTATCGCCCAGTTAGTCTAACATCAATATTGTTTAAAACATTTGGAAAAAAATTATTCGAAAACACATAATAAAACATACTGAGGAAAATAAATTATCATCTGACAATCAGTATGGTTTTCGGACAAGAAGGTCTTGTGCTTTACAACTTCTAAATGTATTGGAAGAATGGAATATTTATATACAAAAATTATCAAAGTTGGGACACCATATACAGTCTAACTTGCCCATGCGACCACGTGTATTAAGCGACTTTTGTCTTAAACGACCACTTTGAATTCCCCCCCGATCATTTTCTCTAAATATCTTAAATGTATTAAGCGACTTTTGCTCAACGCGACCAGCGACCGCTAATTAGTCACCTAATTGACATCAATCTTTTCATTAAACGACCACTTTTACCTGTCAAGTAATTGTGTTTTTAGAGAACGCCACCTCGTTATGTCACAAGTGTCAGCAATCAAAACACAACAATAAACGTGTGAAAAACTCTATTTCCCATACCGTTTTAGCGTACGCAAGTGAAGTTAAGTATACGCGTGACGTGTATTATCCAATAATATCGGATAAACATGCAACGCTCCGCCCATACTGAGATGGTGTATTACGCTTCGCTTGTTGACATTTTAGACTGCATTGAATTGACCTTGAACTTGATCAGCCATTAAATTATCGTAACAAATACATGTATCCTTTTTGTTTACTTTAAATGAAAAAATGCACACAGAAAACATATTCACTAAAGTGTTTTCGTGTTGGAGACAAGAAAAAACAACGGAAGAAGTTAAAAAATTCTGGAAAAAATGTCAAACATGTACGTAATGGATCAAAACTGTTTTGTCAATAAATATCAGAACGTTATTTTTACATTTGCATCCGTTTAGATTATCGGAGCGTACTTATTATTCAACATTTATATAAAAATGAAGTTGAAAAAACAATCCCATCGAATAAAAAAGATGTCATTTATAAATTTTGACTTTTATATCATGCTGACTGTCTTAAGAGACCGTTTCATTAAGCGACCGATTTTGGTGTTTCCCTTGCCCGGTCGCTTAATACACGTTTGACTGTATCTTGATCTAGCAAAGGCTTTCGATAAAGTCCCACATGTATGTTTACTTAATAAAGTGTCATCTTTTGGAATCAAGGGAAATGTATTAATGTGGATAAAAAGTTTTCTTTGCAATAGAAGACAGTGTGTATCAATTAAAGGTAGTACATCGTTGTGGAAAGCAGTGGATAATGGAGTGCCAGAAGGTAGTGTGTTGGGGCCGGTACTTTTTATTATGTATGTGAATGATATCACAGATAATGTCAAATCAAGCATTAAAATATTTGCTGATGATACAAAATTGTATACACCAACTAGCAAGTCGGATGTTCTCCAAAATGATAATGACTCAATTATGAACTGAAAAATGGGAAATGAACTTAAATGTTAATAAATGTAAGGTGATGCATTATGGTCATGCAAATCCTCAAACACAGTATGTAATGAATAACAAGACTTTATCGGATACTCGAGAAGAATGTGATCTAGGAGTTATTTTTGTGAAGATCTTAAATTTAGCAAAATTATTTCAACAAAGATTAATAAGGCAAATAGTATTTTAGGTCTTATTAACAGGTCCTTTAAGTTTTTAGATGAATACACCTTAGTTTGTGAAATTGTATACAACTTTGATTCGTCCTCATGTTGAATTTGCAAATGTTGTGTGGAATCCATATTTAATAAAAGACATATCAAGTCTAGAAAAACTTCAAACTAAGAGCAACAAAACTAGTTTCATCATAAAAGATCTGACATATATTGACCGCCTTTAAAAGCTTAAACTGCCAAGTCTAATACATCGTAGATTATGAGGGGACATGATTCAGACTTTCAAAATCGTTAATGGCTTAGATTACTGTATTTTTGAAATTTTTTTAGTTATTCAGCATCAACAAGGGGACATAATTTAAAACTAGAAATGCCTTGTAGTATAACAACTCATTGCCTACATCAGTTTTCAAGACGTGTAATTAAAACATGGAATGATTTGCCAAAAAATATAATAGACTCAAAACGTGTTTATGAATTTAAAATAAAGCTAGACCAACACTGGACCGGAGACACTCCATATTAAGTTTAAAATGTAATTTATTACACAGCAGTGTGGACAGAAATAGGAATAAGTGTATATGATTACACATAAAAGTGATGAGACCAGTAAGAAGAAGTAGTGAAAGATTGTCAAAAGAAGAGGGGATTAAAAAGGGCTTGGCCCTTCCATCAGAGCCCAGAATGATCCTATAGGTATCCTACAGGTATGAGTAACAAATTATGGAATCAGGGAACCGGACCCTAGCTCTTATTGAAAAGACCCCTTGGTTCTTTTACATACCAAGTGTATAGCACTGATACATGCGAGGATTACCTGGATTTCTTACGAGTATACCTCTAGGTAGGTGGGAAACACCAAAAGTGTCTCTGAAAAATCTCATGGGTGTTACCCAGGATCGAACCCGGAACCTCAGAAGTGACAAGTCATTGGTCAAATCTAATTTATCAGATGTTACAGACAAATAATGGAACATGTCCTTAAAATACAGTGAAAAAAAACAACACAAATAACAATTCTGTGAAAATTACAAATAACAAGGGGTTCGCACGCAAATGATCAAATAAAATGATCTTCGCGACGTCCAAATTTCAATTAAAATGTCACCAGTGTCATTATTTCTGAAAGCACATTTTCGAGTTTTCAATGTCTCCAAATCATCATAACCATAATCATTTGTATGTGTGTTTTGAGAAGCGAGAAAGAAAAAGGTCACAATTTTGCTCCATTTTTTCGTATAAGGGCCTCGAGAGTTGACCAGTTTTCGCTCTTTATTGTGATTTTTAGCTTGACTATTCGCAATAGAAGTATAAAAGTTACCCTAAACATTTTCTAAGTTATTTTCCACTAATTTGTCACCCAGAAAATAAAGTTTCACCTTTTCACTAAATGTCACTCATTTACACCTTCAAAATAAACTAAGTTTCATTTTTCACCAATTTCCACCTTTTTGCCACCATGAAAAAGGTCTATGTTCAAATTTCCACTCAATGCCACTTAAATGCCACCAAAGGATTGTGGCATTTGGTGGTAATTTTGCCACTACAGTGGAAAAAGAGTGGAAGTTTGTCATTTTCCAGTTAATGCCAACTTTTTCTTACACTGAATGCCACCCTTGTCAGTGGAAATAGCTGGCAAGCAGTGGCAATCTAGGGTCTTTTAATCACTTTACGTAGTGGCAAATCTAGGGACGGGTCTTTTAATCACTTTAAGTTTGGTATTTATACTATTTACTTCCTAGTATGATAATGGTATATTACATACCACATTTTGTATGACCAGACCAGTAACTTTAACATTACCATTTTATATTTCAGTGAGGAATATGGGAGGTCATAAGATGGTGAAGCGGCCATCCGAGTTTCAAAAATGTCAATTAAAAGATGACCATGTAAGTAACTATTGTTATTTCTATTTTAACCTGTCCATGACCTAAACACATAATGATGTCATCATTTTAGGGATATTTGATTGAAAATTAAGGAGAAAAAGAGGCAGAAGGTCTGTTATTATGCTCCCCGAAAAATTTCGGGGGAGCATAATAGTCTTCGGGTTGTCCGTCCGTCCGTACGCACGTCCCAATTTTGTGTCCGGCCCATAACTTTGTTATTTGAAGTCAGATTCTAAAACTTTTTCACAGAAATGATCACCATATTAAAACCATGTGTCGCGCGCAACATTTGGGTAGCTACCTTGAAGGTCAAGGTCACAGCATGACCTTGCAGCAAAATCGTGTCCGGCCCATAACTTTGTTACTTTAAGTCAGATTTAACAACTATTTAACAGAGATGATCACCTTATTGAATTGACGTGTGGCATGCAACATTTGTGTCGCTACCTTGAAGGTCAAGGTCACAGCATGACCTTGCAGCAAAATCGTGTCCGGCCCATAACTTCGTTATTTGAAGTCGGATTTTACAACTTTTTCACAGAAATGATCACCATATTGAGACAATGTGTCATGCACAACATTTGGGTTGTTTTTACACTTTGAACTTTGTCTGTGACATAACTCTGACACTACAAGAGGTATACCTTCATGTGTCAAAAACCTATTCGGGGAGCATCACCCGGTTCAACCGGCTCTTGTTTAAGGAGAAGTGATGCTACAGTGTCTAAACTCATCAGACAAAAAACATGTTCGGATGATTCATGAACGCTTTTTGAATTAATTGGGTGCACTTAATTTTGTTTGTTTGTTTGTTTCATTTTACCCTTTTTCCCAACAGTATTTCAGTCATATGGGCAGGGGGCGCACTTAGAAAATAAAGACTTCTTACTTAGAATATGAGAAGCAATACTTACTTACTTAGAATATGAGAAACAGTTACTTACTTACTTAGAATATGAGAAAGTATTTGTAAATGTTTTTGTATTCCAGTAACTCTTTTTATGGTAATCTTGATGCAATTCAAAGGTCATGGTTCCACTACTTGGCCCTGCTTGGTGGACATTTGTCTGTTTCAAAGAACAGTTTTTGTCTTTTTCTGTAAAATACTATTATGTTAGCAAGTTTACATGTAATTCAGTATAATTATGTATGTTTACCATACTTACATAAATATTACCAGGGCTCTTATTTCACAAATTATGGAGGAGCAAAGAGCATTCAGGTCCTTTACCAGCTATTTCAGTAAAATAACAGCGCCACATTCCATAATCTTGTGTTTGTATAAAAAAGATAATATTTTTGATAAAAGCTCATGCTGTGTGTCAGATATGATCAGAAAAATATTTAATATGTTTTTGTACCAGTTAAGGCCTTAAACCATTTGGTAGGATTTTAGGTCAAATGGATCAATTTAAGGTTTTCGTTTAAACATATGAGCCCTGTTACGACAAAACCAACAAAGTGCGTTTGCGACCAGCATAGATCCAGACCCGACTGCACATCCGTGCAGTCTGATCAGGATTCATGCTGTTCGCTTACCAACTCTATTACAAGTGGAGAAACTGACAGCGAACAGCATGGATCCTGATCAGACTGCGCGGATGCGCAGGCTGGTCTGGATCTATGCTGGTCGCAAACGCACTATGTTGGTTTTGTCGTGACGCGGCTCATATTATTTTTTTAAGCTTGATTGCGAAACAATTTTTGCAACTTAATTTAATCACTTTTGAGTCCACGGCCTGGAACCAACCAGTACAAATGTCATGTGAAGAAATATGATCGTGACCAGATTAGGGCTTGAACCCATGATCCCTGGGTTGAATTCTACCACTTGAAGTTCAAAATGTACTCTGTGTAGTTCCCCAACAAGGGAATTAAAGAACCTATTCCGCCAGTGTGCAGACTCAAGGTTAAGATCACCTTTGAAGGTCAAAATTTCGACAAAGGCAATGTTTGCACGATAAATGATATACATGTACTTTTTGAAGGCCAGTGAAAGCCATCAAACAAAAATAATGATCAATTGCACTACGTAAATTCATTTGTCATAGAGATATTTTGAATATTTGTCACTGCTGTGACAGCTACTAAGTTGAGATTTGATGTAGAATAGATTAGTCAAAAGCTATTAATTTGGTTTTATTATAACTCACTGGTCAAGGACACCCAGGACGAAAATGTACTTTTACCTCTTTTTTGTCATATCATTTTCCTTCAAGTGGGTAAATATAAAGCACAATGTTTACCCTATTTGTCATTCAGCCACATTCTGATACTAAAATTGTTATTTATGTTTTATTTCAGTATTATTTCCTAGGGCTAGGAATAATTCCAGCTGGCTTGTTTATCACATATCTTAATGTTACACAAGGTAAGTTAAAATCAATCATTATTCATAGTAAGACAGAGATTTTGTTTTGCTTATTTTATAGCCATTATTGGGTCATATTCCCATTTGAAAATGTTATATTATTTTTCCAATCCACAGGAAAAAATTCTCAATTGAAAGTTACAATATAAAATTATTGAATAAAATTTCTAAAATCTTTGAAAATAAGGGCTTTTTCACTGTAATAGTGCTTAAATGTTTGAAAATGCCATCCTACTTGTAGACAGTAATTGTTGCATCCAGTTTATCACTGTAAAATTTCAGTCATACATTTTTTCCCAATTTTAACACAAAAAAAACACGTTGAAATTCCCAATTCCATGAGTATGGGTCGTGTTCCCAAAATCCTGGAAAAAATCCCTGTGAGTTTATTGTGTGGGGTTTTTAGTCCCTCTGACACTATTACTGTGGTTACTCTCCTTTGTATAAAAATAGAAAAATAACTAAGTAAATGAACCGGCCTCTGGGGGGGGGGGGGGGTTAGAGTTGATGACTTCTAATCTAGTTACTTCTCTGGCGTGGGTTTGATCCCCGGGAGATGCTTTGGTAGTTTAGTGCGGAGAGGAAGGTAGTCTAGTACTGGTGTTACTCTCCAGGAACGATGGTTAGGAAACTACCTGCCTATATGACTAAAATACTGTTGGGAGAAAAGGCATAAAAATGAAACCAATGAATGTTTCAAAATATGACAAGAAATGAGTGATCAGGTCCTTTATCCAGCTAACAATGTATATTTCAAACACTTACATAAATAATAATGGTGTTGAATTACTGAATAGAATGATTCAATAACAACATATTTTTTTTAACAAGTACCTGTTTATTTTAAGGTATCATAAAATTCAAGAAATCATATTTTCGCAAATATTTATAGATGCAAAAAGTCCACTTTTTGACACTGGCAAAATTTTTGTGACACAAATATATCAACTTAAACAGTATATGTCAAAACATAACTGAGATTGTCATGTTAACACTTCATATTAAAAATATGCACTATGCTAGCTGTAATTATTTTAAAATACCAAATGCACAAAACTTGGAAATCATATTTTTATGCCCCCACAATGTTGGAGCATATAGCGTTGCACTTGTCCGTCTGTCCGTCAATTCGTCAGTCCATCTGTCCGTCCCGAAATCTTGTGAACACAACTCCTCTTAAACCGGATGGCAGATTTTGCTTAAACTTACAGGGATGAACAACCTTAATGTGTAGATGGTAGTAAAGGAAGGAATTTTCACTGCGACCAAATTTAACAGAATTATGGCCCTTTGTTGATTTTTTTACTAGATACTATGTAGAAATTTTGTGAACGCAACTCCTCTTAAACCGGATGGCAGATTTTGCTTAAACTTCCAGGGATGAACAACCTTAATGTGAGATGGCAGTAAAGGAAGGAATTTTTGCTGCAACCAAATTTAACAGAATTATGGCCTTTTGTTGATTTTTTCATAATAATATATACTATGTAGAAATTTTGTGAAAGCAACTCCTCTTAAACCGGATGGCAGATTTTGCTTAAACTTCCAGGGATTAATAACCTTAATGTGTAAATGGTAGTAAAGGAAGGAGTTTTTGCTGTGACCAAATTTAACAGAATTATGGCCCTTTGTTGATTTTTAGTTTTCAACTTGTGGCACATGTAGTCCAAAAAATATTTGACCTAGAGTCATGAGATTGACAGAACAGTGGCATGTGGGGGCATCCGTGTCCTATGGACACATTTCTAGTTTTGTCTTGGAAATTTTTCTTCCTTTCTTTTTTCAAAAATTCTTAACAGAATCAGATACATGTGAAGTAAAGATGATTAAACAGCCTAAGGCCACTTATTATAAACCTTTGCAACCCTTTGAAAGTTTGCACACCCTTTTTCTCAAGAATAATGTATGGTTATTTGCATTGCTTTGCCTGTTAAGGTCATCAGCGCAGTCTGATCAGGATCCATGCTGTTAGCTATCAGTTTCTCTACTTGTAATAGGGTTGGTAAGCGAACAGCATGGATCCTGATCAGACTGCACAGATCAGACTCACTGCACGGATGTGCAGGCTGGTCTGGATCCTTGCGGGTTGCAAACGCACTATGTTGGTTTTGTCATGACACGGCTTATTTAATTTCAGGTCCTGCTCAGTTGGTAGACACACCTGAGGGTTATGTTCCAGAACCACACGAGTACCACAGAGTAAGTTCATTAGTACCACAGAGTAAGTTGATTAGTACCACAGAGTCAGTTACCGTAATTAGTACCCCAGAGTAAGTAAATTAGTACCACAGAGTATGTTAATTATTACTACAGAGTAAGTTAATTAGCACCACAGAGTAAGTTAATTAGCATCACACAGTAAGTTAATTAGTACCACAGAGTAAGTTAATTGGTGCCACAGAGTAAATTAATTAGTACCACAGAGTAAGTTAATTAGTACCACAGAGTAAATTAATTAGTACCACAGAGTAAGTTAATTAGTACCACAGAGTAAGTTAATTAGTGCCACAGAGTAAGTTAATTATTACCACAGAGTAAGTTGATTAGTATCACAGAGTAAGTTGATTAGTACCACAGAGTAAGTTAATAAGTACCACAGAGTAAGTTAATTATTACCACAGAGTAAGTTGATTAGTACCACAGAGTAAGTTGATTAGTACCACAGAGTAAGTTAATTAGTACCACAGAGTAAATTAATTAGTACCACAGAGTAAGTTAATTAGTACCACAGATAAGTTAATTAGTACCACAGAGTAAGTTAATTAGTACCACAGAGTAAAGTTAATTAGTACCACAGAGTAAGTTAATTAGTACCACAGAGTAAGTTAATTATTACGACAGAGTAAGTTAATTAGTACCACAGAGTAAATTAATTAGTAGCACAGAGTAAATTAATTAGTACCACAGAGTAAGTTGATTAGTACCACAGAGTAAGTTAATTATTACCACAGAGTAAGTTAATTAGTACCACAGAGTAAGTTAATTAGTACCACAGAGTAAGTTAATTAGTACCACAGAGTAAGTTAATTAGTACCACAGAGTAAGTTAATTAGTACCACAGAGTAAGTAAATTAGTACCACAGAGTAAGTTAATTAGTACCACAGAGTAAATTAATTTGTAGCACAGAGTAAGTTAATTAGTACCACAGAGTAAATTAATTAGTACCACAGAGTAAATTAATTAGTAGCACAGAGTAAATTAATTAGTACCACAGAGTAAATTAATTAGTACCACAGAGTAAATTAATTAGTAGCACAGAGTAAGTTAATTAGTACCACAGAGTAAGTAAATTATTACCACAGAGTAAGTTGATTAGTATCACAGAGTAAGTTGATTAGTACCACAGAGTAAGTTAATTAGTTCCACAGAGTAAGTAAATTAAGTACCTAAGAGTAAGTTGATTAGTACCACAGAGTAAGTAAATTATTACCACAGAGTAAGTTGATTAGTATCACAGAGTAAGTTGATTAGTACCACAGAGTAAGTTAATTAGTTCCACAGAGTAAGTAAATTAAGTACCTAAGAGTAAGTTGATTAGTACCACAGAGTAGTTAAATTATTACACAGAGTAAGTAAATTAGTACCATAGAGTAAGTTGAATAGTACCCACAGAGTAAGTTGATTATTACCACAGAGTAAGTTGATTATTACCATAGAGTAAGTCAAGGTAACAGCCAGAGGTCATAGATTAACAAAGTCTGTTACAGGGTATATTTTGTGTCAGGTCCATAACGTCTTCAAAGATCAAGGGATTTTGAAATTATGTTGCACAAATGTTCACAATAATAAGACAATGTGTCATGAGCGAAACCAGTAGTCTACCTCCAAGGTAAAGGTTACAGTTGTAAACCTTAACATGGTCTTTTAAATGGTATATTTTGTGTGCAGTCTATAATTATTTTATTGTTCAATGAATTTGAAATAACTTGGCAAAAATGTTCACAATAATGGGACCCAGGGCTCAAGCTAGGTTCAAAAATGTTCACAATAATGGGACCCAGGGCTCAAGCTAGGTTCAAAAATGTTCACAATAATGGGACCATGTGTCATTAGCAACATCCAGACTTCTACCTTCAATGTCAAGGTCACACTTGAGTGCCATAGCTTAACATTGTCTGTTCTTGGGTATATTTTGTGTGCGGTTCATCAATCAAGGGATTTTAGAATAATTTTGCACAATTGTTAACAATAAGATGACATGTGATGCGCAAACACCTAAACCCTTACCTCAAAGGTCAGGTCACACTTGGAGGTCAATGCCTGAAATAGGTTTTACATGGTAAAATGCCCAAGTTTGGCCAATGCAAATAAAGGTCATTGGTGAATTAACCACATACATTGATTGATGACTGGACACGAAATGTACCCTGTAACAGACCATATCCCCTGTTTGAAATAGTAATCACAAGTATACAAATGGATTTCTTTTGACACATACACAGGAGATATAACAGGCACCATTTTATCATTTTATATCTGTACTTCATTAAATTAATTTGCTTTTATTTATAAAATAGGTACATTAAGGGAGAAATTATTGTTATATATTTTGTTTATTGCATTTTGTATGGATCCTATGATGTGGATAATTAATTCAATTTTAAAAGTGTTATATACTTATATTAATTATACCCCCGCACAACAAAGTTGTAAGGGGGGTATACTGGAATCAGCTTGTCCGTCCGTCCGTCCGGCTGTCCGTCCGGCCGGCCGTCCGTCGGTTTTTCCTTGTCCGCCCAATAACTTAAGATTCCTTTGACCCTTAGTCTTCATATTTGGCATGGAGGTTAGTCATGATTAGTAGATGACCCCTATTGATTTTGAGGTCACTAGGTCAAAGGTCAAGGTCACAGGGGCCTTGACTTCAAAAAGCTTGTCCGCCCAATAACTTAAGATTCCTTTGACCCTTAGTCTTCATATTTGGCATGGAGGTAAGTCATGATTAGTAGATGACCCCTATTGATTTTGAGGTCACTAGGTCAAAGGTCAAGGTCACAGGGGCCTTGACTTCAAAAAGCTTGTCCGCCCAATAACTTAAGATTCCTTTGACCCTTAGTCTTCATGTTTGGCATGGAGGTTAGTCATGATTAGTAGGTGACCCCTATTGATTTTGAGGTCACCAGGTCAAAGGTCAAGGTCACAGGGGCCTTGACTTCTAAAAGCTTGTCCGCCCAATAACTTAAGATTCCTTTGACCCTTAGTCTTCATATTTGGCATGGAGGTTAGTCATGATTAGTAGATGACCCCTATTGATTTTGAGGTCACCAGGTCAAAGGTCAAGGTCACAGGGGCCTTGACTTTAAAAAGCTTGTCCGCCCAATAACTTAAGATTCCTTTGACCTACAGTCGTCATATTTGGCATGGAGGTTAGTCATGATTAGTAGATGACCCCTATTGATTTTGAGGTCACCAGGTCAAAGGTCAAGGTCACAGGGACTTTGACTTCAAAAACTTTGTCTGCCCAATTACTTTAGATTCCTTTGACCCACAGTCTTCATATTTGACATGGATGTTGATCATGATTAGTAGATGACCCCTTTTGATTTTGAGGTCACTGGATCAAAGGTCAAGGTCATAGGGACTTTGACTTCAAAAAGTTTGTCCACCCATTAACTTAGATTCCTTTGACCCACAGTCTTCATATTTGGTATGGATGTTGATCATGACTATAAGGTGACCCCTATTGATTTTGAGGTCATTGGGTCAAAGGTCAAGGTCACAGGGACCTTGACAAAAAAAAGATTTCTTCTCAATTGCTAAAGAATGTCCTGTCCGCAATGTATTGATTTTGACATTTTCACATTTGAAGCATGTAGAATACATAACTTAGCAATGCACTGGCTTAGTAACCTCAGATTTGGCAGGGAGGTTGTCCTTGAGCTCTAAATGGCCACTGTTGATTCTGACAAAGTGGTATGCGGGGGTATTCACGCCATGATAGTGGCAGTTCTAGTTAATTATGTAATATTCATAACAGTTATCTATGTTTGTATGTGGCATATAGTACATGAACTGCTTGATTTGTCCTCTTTATATATTTTTTTAATGATTTTTTTTATACTGGCATGTGCAGATCTAGAATAATATATAGTATGTTTTTTTTAAAATAAAATATTCATATGTAAATTAATGTAAATATGCCACTGTTTGTCCGCGATAAAAAAAATCGTCCGCGGTGGTATCGTGGAAAAAGCAAAACCCGCGGTGAGCATACTGTATCATATATATGTTGTCAGTGGAGGCATCCGTGTGCTTTGGACACAGTTCTAGTTATACATAATATATAGTAGGTTTTTTTTTTATAAACTTGACTAGATAAAAAATATGCCACTGTTACAGGTAAATGAAGTAAGTGGCATATTCCTCCTATGGACTGTAGTATTTTTATATTAAAATCCCTTCAAGTATAAATGAAAAGTTCAAAGCAGGGTAAGTTCTCTCAGTTGAACAGGTTAAAGGTAAAGATATATATTTATTTTTCCAGCTGCCACTGACAAGGTTACTGGCTAAATATGGAGTTGAACCTATTGAGAAGAAACATGAAAGAACTTTATACTATCTTCATAAAGCAGATGAAAAAAGAAAATCTACGTAAGTTGTGTACATATATTCATCACATTTAACCAAAGCACCTAGTGTAATAAGAATTTTATGTGATGTCATTTTAATGTGAGGAAGCGTCCAGCTAGCTATGACAACATTGGTGGTTCTACTCAGGTGACTGTGTGTGCCTGAAATAATGCATGAGGGTCACCTGAGGTCGCCATATGACCTTTACTGTCTAGGTGTGATAGAAAATCAAATCACAAACATGAATCATGTGTCTAGAGTCAATATTGGCTTTGATAGTGAATCTTGTGTCTAGAGTCAATATTGGCTTTAATGTGTGAATCATGTGTATAGAATCAATTTTGGCTTTGATAAGTGAATCATGTGTCTCGAGTCAATATTGGCTTTGATAAGTGAATCATGTGTCTAGAGTCAATATTGGCTTTGATAAGTGAATCATGTGTCTCGAGTCAATATTGGCTTTGATAAGTGAATCATGTGTCTAGAGTCAATATTGGCTTTGATAAGTGAATCATGTGTCTAGAGTTAATATTGGCTTTGATAAGTGAATCATGTGTCTAGAGTTAATATTGGCTTTGATGAGTGAATCATGTGTCTAGAGTCAATATTGGCTTTGATAAGTGAATCATGTGTCTAGTCAAAATTGGATTTGATAAGTGAATCATGTGTCTCGAGTCAATATTGGATTTGATAAGTGAATCATGTGTCTAGAGTCAATACTGGCTTTGATAAGTGGATCATGTGTCTAGAGTTAATATTGGCTTTGATGAGTGAATCATGTGTCTAGAGTCCGAATTGGCTTTGATAAGTGAATCATGAGTCTAAAGTCAATAATTGGCTTTGATAAGTGAATCATGTGTCTAAGTCAATATTGGCTTTGATAAGTAAATCATGTGTCTAGAGTCAATATTGGCTTTGATAAGTGAATCATGTGTCTCGAGTCAATATTGGCTTTGATGAGTGAATCATGTGTCTAGAGTCAATATTGGCTTTGGTAAATGAATTATGTGTCTAGAGTTAATATTGGCTTTGATAAGTGAATTATGTGTCTAGTCAATATTGGCTTTGATAAGTGAATCATGTGTCTAAAGTCAATAATGGATTTGATAAATGAATCATGTGTCTAGTCAATATTGGCCTTGATAAGTGAATCATGTGTCTAGAGTCAATACTGGCTTTGATAAGTGAATCATGTGTCTAAAGTCAATAATGTATTTGATAAATGAATCATGTGTCTAGTCAATATTGGCCTTGATAAGTGAATCATGTGTCTAGAGTCAATACTGGTTTTGATAAGTGAATCAGTGTCTAGAGTTAATATGGCTTTGATGAGTGAATCATGTGTCTAGAGTCAGAATTTTTGCTTTGATAAGAAAATCCATTAGTCTAGAGTCAATATTGGCTTTGATAAGTGAATCATGTGTCTAGAGTCAATATAGGCTAGATGTGTGAATCATGTGTCTAGAGTCAATATTGGCTTTTGATAAGTGAATCATGCGTGTCTAGAGTCAATATTGCTTTGATAAGTGAATCAATGTGTCTAGTCAATAATTGGCTTTGATAAGTGAATCAAATGTGTCTCGAGTCAATATTGGCTTTGATAAGTGAATCATGTGTCTAGTCAATATTGGCTTTGATAAGTGAATCATGTGTCTCGAGTCAATATTGGCTTTGATAAGTGAATCATGTGTCTCGAGTCAATATTGGCTTTGATAAGTGAATCATGTGTCTAGAGTCAATATTGGCATTGATGAAATGAATCAAATTGTGGCTCGAGTCAATATTGGCTTTTTGACTAAGTGAATCATGTGTATCGAGTCAATATTGGCTTTGATAAGTGAATCATGTGTCTAGATTCAATATTGGCTTTGATGTGTGGATCTGTGTCTAGAGTCAATATGGCTTTGATAAGTGAATCATGTGTCTAGAGTCAATATTGGCTTTTGATAAATGAATCATGTGTCTAGTCCAGTATTGGCTTTGATAAGTGAATCATGTGTCTAGAGTCAATATTGGCTTTGATAAGTGAATCGTATGTCTAGAGTTAATATTGGCTTTGGATAAGTGAATCATGTGTCTAGAGGCAATAATGGCTTTGATAAGTGAATCGTGTGTCTAGAGTCAATATTGGCTTTGATAAGTGAATCATGTTGTCTAGAGTCAATATTGGCTTTGATAAGTGAATCGTGTGTCTAGAGTTAATATTGGCTTTGATAAGTGAATCATGTGTCTAGAGTCAATATTGGCTTTGATAAGTGGAATCGTGGTGTCTAGAGTCAATATTGGCTTTGATAAGTGAATCATGTGTCTAGAGTCAATATTGGCTTTGATAAGTGAATCGTGTGTCTAGAGTTAATATTGGCTTTTGATAAGTGAATCATGTGGGTCTAGAGGCAATAATGGGCTTTGATAAGTGAAATCGTGCATCTAGAGTCAATATTGGCTTCGATAAGTGAATCATCGCTTCTAGAAGAGTTAATATTGGCTTTTGATAAGTGAACGTGTGTATCTAGAGTCAATATTGGTTCGATAAGTGAATCATGCTTCTAGAGTTAATATTGGCTTTGATAAGTGAATCGTGTATCTAGAGTCAATAATTTTCTACAGCTTAAAGATCCACAATATATGAAAAGTCAGGGAAAGCAGTGATCCTCGGAAAGCATTTATAAAAATATTACATGAAAATTTCATGCTTGGTTCGATAAAGTTTATTCATGAAGGACAGTCAAACCATCAACTTATATTCTTCTTTTTGAAAGGTTGTTTTTCATATTGTCTGAATACTTCAAATAGATTTAATTGTATTGAAAAAATGTGTTTATATACATATATTTTGTATAATTCAGTATACTGCAAATGGAGGTAAGATGTCTTCAAAAATGAGAAACCTGAAAATAATGGTAATTGTCTATCTTCATTGTCTGATTTTAATTTAACTGATTTTTGTGTCGCCTTGAGAAGGGGTTACTCTTGTCGGCGGCGTTTGTCCGTGTTGGTTGTGTCGTTGTCGGGGTCCCCTAAAGCTTGTCCAGAGCTAGCTCAGTCACTATAGGTCGGATTGACTTCAATCTTGGTATGCATGCTTATTTCAATAACACGAAGTGCAGTGCTCAAGGACCAGTACTCTGCACTTCTTAATTGTTGAGTTATTGTCCTTTCATACTTTAATTCTGTCCGGGCCATTTCTCTTCAACTATAAAAGCTATGGACTTGAAACTTCATAGGATGATAGATCTCATTAAGAAGAAGGGCAGTGCACAAGAATCCATACTCTACACTACCTAACTCTTGAGTTATTTCCCTTTGTTAATTTTTATATTTTATTTTTGTCCGGGCCATTTCTCTGAAAGTATAAAAGCTACGGGCTTGAAACTTCATATGATGATAGGTCTCATTAAGAAAAAGTGCAGTGCACAAGAACAGGTACTCTGCATTTCTTATTTTTGAGTTATTACCCTTTTTAATTTTTCATACTTTATTTTTCTCATAAAATTTATAAAAGTTATGGACTTGAAACTTCATAGAGTGATTGATCGTATTGGTAAGAAGTGCAGTGCAATTAGAAGCTGCTGCTTTGCACTTATTATTTTTTGAGGTATTGCCCTTTGTTTAGTTTTCATATTTCATTTTTGTTTTGGCCATTTCTCCTAAACTATATTGTTAACTCGCGGAGTTCTAGTTCTGATTTAACACTGTCTCTTGTTAGTTCCCTTCTAATTTCCCACCGTCTGCCATTTCCACCTGACAGAATAGAGATAGGGAGCCATCTTTCTGTGAAAAGAACAAAAAAGAAAACAATAGAAATTCATTCTGTAACAATAAAGTATGAGGCCTACTGTTATTGGCTCCTTATTAAAACAAAGAGTATGCACCTAAAGTTTTTACCTTAACTTTTTAGAAAGAAAAAATATAGAAGTGTTTTAATATCTGGACAAACATGAACATAACAAAATGCAAAATTACATTGTATCTGTGTTGGTGTGTGTCAAGTATCATGAGCAGAAAAAAAAAATTTTGACAAAAAAATAATTTGAACATTTTTCCTTCTTACACTTAAAAATATGACAGAAATGTACCTATAGCTTAGTTATTTCCGTGGCTGAGTGGTTAAGGTTGCTGACGTCAAACCACTTGTTCGAATCCCGACAGGGACTTTGGACTCTTTCATGTTTCTTCCTCCACCAGTAAAGCTGGAACGTCGCAATATGACCTATAATGTATCAATGTCACGTAACCCCCCCCCCCCCCCAAAAAAAAAAAAAAGAAGAAAGAAAGTTATTTATGAATGAATTGTCTTTATTCTTGAAAACTTCTGGACTTATGGACCTTTAAGTTGGGGACTTACATTAATCTTGAGACATAATGACCTTGACTTTCAATGTTTATGTTTAAATGGTTAACCTTTGAATGAACATGTTCAGGACTTGAACTTTGCTCGAGTAATGTACATATATTGATTTTGGGGTTAACATTTGCGGGAATATAATCACGAAGGCCAATAGGTATTCCTGATTAGTTACAAAAGAAATTTTTACCATAAACTGTGCATTATTAATACTGCAATGCATGAATAATAATATCTATTTCTATTCTAACGTGCTAATAAAAGAAAAGAGAAAATTATGTTGAAGATATTTGGCATATAAGTATTTTTATAAGTCTCATTTGGTTTTTTGATGGCAAATGGCGTGTATGCATTCCTTTATTATGCCATGCTCATCAGTCCTACCAGTTTTTTACGAGAATGATGTAAAGGATGTTAGACGTAAAAAATTAATATATGTGAATTATTGGGCCAGTTTTTGCACATTCTGTTGTTCAGGGCCCCGATTATGATTATGAGTTTTTTAGGCCCCGGGCCACAAACTCAATATCGGTCAAGTGACACTTTGTAAAAAGTTAAAACTGTTTTCACTTTGTTACTTTGTATAGAAACCCAAGTGTATTAATTGATAGTTTTATACCCCCCACAAACGAAGTTTAGCGGGGAAGGTATATAGGAGTTGGTTTGTTCGGTCGGTCGGTTCGGTCCACATCATGGTTTCTGGACGATAAACTAGAGTTTGGAATGAGGTAAATGTATTGTAAAAAAATAGGTATATAGCCAACTTTATGTGAAAACTCCGGTTTAGTAATTGCATTTGAAACCCCTGGGGTCAAGGTCACCGTTACTAAAAATAGAAAAAAGGTTTTTTCCGGAGCAATATTTTAGTTAGGAATGAGATTTGTAATAAATTAGTGTATAGCAACTTATAAAAGACCGGGGTTGGTGTTGCATTTGCCCCCCTTGGGATCTAGGGCAAGGTACCCTTACTATAAAAAGAAAAATGGTTTTTAGACAAAACAATTAGGAATGAGATATTTTTTCAAAAATTGGTCTTACAAACTTATTGAAACCCGGGTTTTTGGATTTCATTTGGACCCGGGTCGGGGCCCATAACGTGTTTTAAAAAAAAAAAAAGGTTTCCGGGCAATAAATAGAGTTAGAAAGGGGGGGGGGAATTTTAAAACAAATTTGTGAAAGGGCCCTTTAAAAAGTCAAAGTTGCGGGGGGTATTAATCATTTCAAATGATAGGTCAGTTAATTTAAAATTTAAAATTATTATTTATTTACAGGATGGGATTATGTACCAAAAAGGTCATTTAAAGAAAGGGGAAGACAATGTACGGAAGTCAGGAGATGGTGAAAGGCAGAGAATTAGGGAAAATAACTTATTATAAATATAGGAACAGGATTATTTATGAAACAAGCCACTTATTATTTTAAATGCATTGCTTTGGAACTTTAATGTAGTTTTTTGACAAATTCCTCTCAAAGTTTTTAGACTAATATAGATGATATGAGGATTTTTCAAATAAAACTTTCAGTAAAATGAAATTAGAGAAGAATTGAAGAATAAAGGTGTTAGTATTGTTATGAAAATATTGTTTTGCAGCAAATTTGAGAAAAAACATTATACAAATTGTTATTATCATCTAATCGCTTGCTAGTGTAATGCCTTTTCGCTAAAAAAATGTGTCAGACCATTAAGGTACCTAGGAAACTCATACATAAATAGGTTTTAGTCTGAAAACCTGTTGAGAAACCTTGTGAAGTTTGCACTTAAATTTCCATTATGCCCTCATGTTTTATGCTCCCCGAAAAATTTCGGAGAGCATATAGTCGTCGGGTTGTCCTCCATCCGTCAGTCCGTCCGTACATCTGAACGTCTGTACGTACGTCCCAAAATAGGTTTTCCGATAAATAACTAAATAACGTTTTTAAGCCTAGGAACTCAAACTTGGTATGGTGATTGGTCATGACCAGCAGATGACCCCTATTGATTTTAGGGGCCAAGGGGTCAAAGGTCAAGATCACATTGATATTGTAGGTAAAACGTTTCCGGTCAATAACTAAAGAACGCTTTAGGCCTAGGAACTTCAAACTTGGTATGGTTGATTGTCATTGGAGCATAAAGTCGTCGGGTTTGTTTGATCGTCCGTCTTCAGTCGTCCATGCTGTAGCGTACGTCCAAAGTTCATGTCCGGCCCATAACTTTGTTATTTGAAGTCAGATTTTGAAACTATTTTACAGAAATGATCGCCATATTTAGATGTGTTGCGCTCAACATTTTGATCGCTGCCTTGAAGGTCAAAGGCACAGCATGACCTTGAAGCAAAATATTGTCCGGTCCATAACTTCATTATTTGAAGTCGGATTTTAAAACTATTTCACAGAAATGACTACCATTAATGAAACAACGTGCAGCGCCCACCATTTAGGTCGTTACCTTGAAGGTCAAGGTCACAGCATGACCCTTGCAGCCAAATCAATGTCCGGGCCATAACTTCGTTATTTGAAGTCAGATTTTTAAAAACTATTTCACAGTAATGATCACATATTTAAACGACAGTGTCGCGGGCAACATTTGGTCGCTATCTTGAAGGTCAGCGGTCAACAGCATGACCTTCCGCAAAATCGATGTCCGCCCCCATAACTTTGTTATTTATAGTCAGATTTTACAGTTATTTCACAGAAATTATCACCATATTGAGATTAATGGCGCGCAAACATTTGGGTCAGCTACCCTTGAGGTCAAGGTCACAGCATGACCTTGCAGCAAAAATCGTGTCGGGTCCATAACTTCGTTACTTGAAGTCGGATTTAAACAAATATTTCACACAGAGATATCACTATATGAAATTGAATCGAAGTTGCGTGCAAACATTTGGGTTCTAACTTGAAGGGTCAAAGTGTCAACAGCATGACATTGGGGGGCAGCAAGTTCATCGGCCCATAAACTCGTTATGAATCAATTTTACAACTTTTCACAAAATGATCACCATATTAGACAATGTGTGTTGCCAACATTTGGGGGTTCTTTTTAAACTTTGACTTTTTTACATAACTCTGACACTACAAAACCTTCTGTGGTTCAAAACCTATTCGGGGAGGAAACCCGGTTCAACGCCTTGTTTTATTAATCCCCTTCCACGCAAAAGGGGACTTATAAGGAATGGCCTCATCATCCGCCGTCTGAGTTTTAAATAATGAGACTATTCGCTTTATTCCCCGTAGTTAAATAAAGAACAAAACCCTTCATAAAAAAATTCATATTGTGGAAGCTATTTTTGCTCGACTATTCGCAGATAATCGAGCTAATGCAGTCACCCATTTGTGGGGGCATCTGCGTCCCTGTGGTTAAGCTTTTTTTTGCGTGTAAGCTTGGTATCTCCATAACTGCTGAAAAGGGAATCATGATATTTCACAGACTTGTTCTCTGTGATTATCTTACATGATGGGCTACAAGTATAAGATTTCTTGAGTTTTCAATAATTCTCTTCATTTCTAACTTGGTACTATATTTATTTATCAATGTTGTGTTGAAAAGTCGTTACCCCCTTAACTTTACTTACTTTCAATCACACTTAAAAGTGCTTAAAGTTTTCATTTCTTCAATTTCTAATATTTTCATTTGCTTTTCAATATTTTTTACCGTATCCGACCATGAATATGGACAAATAGTTGCCTAAAAAGTGTAATATTCCGCAGATGCTTGACATAATTTTTTGTCCCCAGAGGTCGACGCCATATTCAAAACTTGGCCTGAGAATAATCAGAATAACTTTTCTGACCAATTTCAAGGATATTTGGTCCAAAACTGTAGTCTCTAGAATGTTAACAGGTTTTCCTATATTTAAGCTTTGTGAGCTAGTTTTTGACCCCAGACGATCAATATTCAAACTTGACTTAAAAATCATCATAAATACCTTTCTTACCAATTTCCAGAACATATGGTCCAGAACAGCAGTCTGTACAATGTTAACAGGTTTTTCCATATTTTGGCTGTGTGACCTAGTTTTTAACCCCAGATGACCTAATATTTGGGCTGTGTGACCTAGTTTTTTAACCCCAGAGATGAAACATTTTTTACCTTTCTGACCAATTCCAAGGACATTTGAACAACACAGTAGTCCTTAGGGTGTATAACAAGGTCTTTCCAAAATTTGGGATGTTGGACCTAGATTTGACCCAATATAGCCCATATTTGAACTAGAACTAAAGATCAACCTTTATAAACTTGTCTGAATTTCCAAAAACAGTAGCCCTCAAGAGTGTTAATAAGAGATTTCTATTTTAAGCTCCTGTGACCTAGCTTTTCATGCGAGAAACATGGAAAAACATCTTGACCAAGTTAATGGAAACAATTGATGTAAAAATGTAAACATTAGATTGTTAATGAACTAAAAGTGGACGGACAACAGACGACAGGCGAGCAAAATTCAAGTATCCTAAAAGCTCACCCTGCCAGCTCAGGTGAACTAAACAGTTGATTTTTTTAATATTCCGGTCATAAAATAGGTTAAATTACAGGTAAATTATGCAGAAAAGCATGTTTCAGAAATACTATAAAATCCGATATCCTATAATTGTGAAATGAAAAACAAAATCAAACAATCAATCGATTGATTGATTTTCTTTAGACCGGGCGGTCAACGATAACTTACGAAAGTGCAAGTACTTATTTCCAGTAAGGTCCTAAACTCAGCAGACTCTAGACACAAGAGAGTCCAGGAACCAGTCCTAGCTCTTTTTGATAGATCCCTCGGTTCTTTTACATGGCCAGTGTATAGCACTGATACATGCGAGTTTGTTTCATTTTACGCCTTTTCCCAACAAGTTTGTTTGTTGGTTTCATTTTACGCCTTTTCCCAACAGTATTTCAGTCATATAGGCGGGTAGTTTCCTAACCATCGTTCCTGGAGAGTTACACCAGTACTAGACTACCTTCCTCCATGCTAAACTACCAAAGCATCTTCCGGGGATCGAACCCACGCCAGAGAGGTAAACTGGATTAGAAGTCATCGACTCTAACCCCTCAACCACGGAGGCGGTCTTGATACATGGGAGGATAACCAGGGTTTCTTTAATACCAGTAAACCTCCATGTAGGTGGGAAACACTGAAAGTGTCTCTGAAAAGTCCCAAGGGTGTTACCCAGGATCGAACCCGGAACCTCAGGAGTGACAGTCAGTGGTCTAACCAACTGAGCTATCGCACCACATCAAATTGATGTGTTTATGCCCGTGTACGTGTATAAAACAAACACTAACTTGTCTCAATAGCATTTAATTTTTTTAAATAATCATAAATTATTGTACAATTAAACATATATATGTTCATATATATATAACGTTAATTGTAGAAACACCTATTTTAACATTTGTTTCAAACAAAAATAATAACAGAACAGTTATTACTTGTTTTAAGCATAAAGATCTGATCATCATATAACAAATGTACAAATACAACATATGATAAATAAATGACATATCATCATCACATAAACAAAACATAGCTGAAACAAAAATTGAGAATGACTAATGAGACAGGGAATTACATTTAAAGCGGTTGAATATAAATGATGCTCAATAATTTTTTCAGCTTTACCTAACATTATCACAATTCATAACATTTTCTTTTATAATTGAATTTATAAAAATCAAGATATGTTTGTAAAACATGTATGCCCCCTATGGACAGCTAATTAGTCATGTGATCAGGTTATTATGCAGGACATCTGACCCAGTGAACAAAAAATTAATAAGGGTTATCTACTTGTTGATGACTAGTCACAAGGTAATAATTATTGTGACCCCATAGGTTGTGTGCAGCAATTTAAGTTATTACAAATCTTACCAAATAAAATATGCATAAATGAATCATGGAGGCCTCATTAATGACAGCCAAGTTGTTATATTACATCAGACCTTCAAATGTGTATACCAAAAGCATTTTTAGTTTAATATAAAAATATATCGACCAAGGCAACTTGAGTTGTTGAGTTATTGGTCAGAAACCATCTTGAAGTACAAGATCAATTTGACACTGACCCCTTGACCCCAAAATCAATAGGGGTCATCTACTGGTCATGACCAATCATCATATGAAGTTTGAAGTTCCTAGACCTAAGTGTTCTTTAGTTATTGATCGAAACCGTTTTTACTTACAAGGTCAATGTGACCTTGACTTTTGACCCATAAATCAATAGGGGTCATCTACTGACCAATCATCATATAAAGTTTGAAGTTCCTAGACCTAAGCATTCTTGAGTTATTGATCGGAAACCGTTTTTACTAACAAGGTCAATGTGACCTTGACCTTTGACCCCAAAATCAATAGGGGTCATCTTCTGGTCATGACCAATCACCATACCAAGTTTAAAGTTCCTAGCCCTATGCGTTCTTTAGTTATTGATCGGAAACCGTTTTTACCTACAAGGTCAATGTGACCTTGACCTTTGGCCCCAAAATCAATAGGGGTCATCTACTGGTCATGACCAATCACCATACCAAGTTTGAAGTTCCTAGGCCTAAGCGTTCTTTAGTTATTGATCGGAAACTGTTTTTACCTACAAGGTCAATAAGACCTTGACCTTTGACCCCTTGACCCTAAAATCAATAGGGGTCATCTACTGGTCATGACCAATCACCATACAAGGTTTGAAGTTCCTAGGCCTAAGTGTTCTTTAGTAATTGATCAGAAACCGTTTTTACCTACAAGGTCAATGTGACCTTCATCTTTGACCCCTTGACCCCAAAATCAATTAAGGGTCATCTACTGGTCCGGAACAATCACCATACCAAGTTTGAAAGTCCTAGGCCTAAGCGTTCTTAAGTTATTGATCGGAAACCGTTTTTACCTACAAGGTCAATGTGACCTTCACCTTTGACCCCAAAATCAATAGGGGTCATCTACTGGTGATGACCAATCACCATACCAAGTTTTAAGTTCCTAGGCCTAAGCGTTCTTAAGTTATTGATCGGAAACCGTTTTTACCTACAAGGTCAATGTGACCTTGACCTTTGACCCCTTGACCCCAAAACCAATAGGGGTCATCTACTAGTCATAACCAATCACCACACAAAGAAGTTCCTAGGCCAAAGCGTTCTTTAGTTATTGATCGGAAACCGTTTTTACCTACAAGGTCAATGTGACCTTCACCTTTGACCCCAAAATCAATAGGGGTCATTTACTGGTCATGACCAATCACCACACCAAGTTTGAAGTTCCTAGGCCTAAGCGTTCTTTAGTTATTGATTGGAAACCGTTTTTACCTACAAGGTCAATGTGACCTTCACCTTTGACCCCTTGACCCCAAAATCAATAGGGGTCATCTACTGATCATGACCAATCACCACACCAAGTTTGAAGTTCCTAGGCCTAAGCGTTCTTTAGTTATTGATCGGAAACCATTTGGTCTACGGACCGACAAATGCAAAGCAATATACCCCCTCTTCTTTGAAGCGGGGGCATAATAATGTGACAAAAGGGAAATAACTGAAGAAACTTTGCATAATAAGTACTTATCACATTAACTTTCCTTCAATAAATTCTGCATCATTAATTTAGTACTCTTGTAGTCTTTCGTTTTACTTTTGGTTTTTTTTCTTCATTATTTTAAAAAATCTGAATTTAGACGAAGTTATTTATTAATTTTGTCATAACATAAACATTTTGTTTGAGCATTTTGTCACTTGTTTAATAATAATTATTAGAAAAGTTATATGTCCTTAAAAATGCATTCCAATTAAAAAAGTAAATAAAGGACTTTGTAAAAATAAATTTATTTTAGGATTGCCACCCCTTCTGAAATAGTGACATATTTTTAAAGTGAACAAGTCTGAAGCGAATAACTTTGATAACTTCTGAAAAATTTGACTAACAGAAAGGTAAAGCAAAGCAAAATACTAAGTTGAACAGGATGCATAATTTTGCAAAATCTGCATTTTGGAAATGCTATCCTTTTATAACAATTAACATGTATACTAAGTGAATAGCTTTCATACTTTCTGAAATATTGACCATTTTCCAGAAGGTTAACCATTATACAGACGAGAGAGACATGTCAAAAGTTCCACAACTTCTCTTCAAAAAGTGGCGCTAATAATATAATAATTACATAAAACATGAAATGTGTTCAAAACATGACTTTGTGACAATGAAAAAGAACATACAATGAAATTAATGTATGAGACATAGAAATACAATACCATACCATACAAAAGATTTCTAAAATGCATTCCTTTCTCTGCAGTGAGCAACAAACTTGAACATATTCACATTCTGAATATATTATCAAGAATGTGTACATGTGTACATTCACTTTTATATTAACTGCCTAGATATAATTCTACATCATAAAACTTAGTGCCATGATAACATGGCCATCCCCCGCCAAATGTGTTTGCTCATTGGAAGAATATATATGTAGTAGAGCAGAATAATTCAATTTTAAGAGGTCTTTTGGTAATGAAAACTGATGGCTGAAGTGATAACAGATTTGAAACCTATGTGAATACTGAAGGCTGAAAATAACAAAGGGGAATAACTGAAAAATAATGCAGGGTAGGTTATCATTCTTGTGTGCTGCATTCCTCCTCAATGAGATCCATCCACCTTTCAAGTTGATACCTCTAACACTTATTGTGATAAGCTCATGACAAAAAGTATGAAAAATAACAAAGGGCAATAACTCAAAAATTATAAAGGGAAGAGTTATCATTCTTGCTCACAGCATTCCTCCTAAATAAGATCTGTCCACCTATGAAGTTTCATGTTGACGTTTCAAAAGACTTTTTGAGTTATGGTCAACTCGGGTGAAATTTAAGTATGAAAAATAACAAAGGGCAATAACTCAAAAATTATGAAAGGAAGAGTTATTACTCTTAACGCTCATTCTCAATAAAACACAGCATTTGATGTTCCACTGGGTAGCTCTTATACGAAGGTTTTTCTTGAGGTCAAAATGTCGTTAGAAAGGGGGCTGCCACTTTGTCTAATAGGGACACTCTCAGTTTTACATTTCTATCTGTTATTTTTCTTTTACAAGTACCATTAATGCCCTAAAATGTAACATACGTTACTGTCGCCACCTAGAATTTTCAACTTTGAAATTGTGTTTCAGAAAAATAAGATCCAGAATAAACGAAACATGTGCAATTAGTCATTGCTGTGTGTATATGCACTTTGATTATTGGTAAAAATTATATTTGACTGTTAAAATCTCATTGGTATAATGGATGATCAAATGTCGCCAAATGCATATAAATAAATAGTGACAAACCTAAAACAATAAGAAGTGAAACCCAAATTACATAATTGAATCGATGCATGCTTAATAATACAGCATATATATAATTATAAGTAAAAATAAGCTTGCAGCCTCTCAAATATCATTCTATTTTCGGAAATTTTCATTTTTTATTCAAATCTTTTCAACAGCACTTTAAAAAGAAACATACGTTACCATTATTTAAGAGCCAATCCATTCAAAGAAGAATCCAAACAAGAAAGAATATTAACATGTGTGTAACTCTGATATATTAACCACAAATTATGGCGGCATAAACGGTCTTGCGTCATTATTAACCCACTTTCAATGTAAAAATGAAACATACGTTACAGAAACATACGTTATCAACTTTTTAAAGTAAGTTTATCAAAAGGGAAATTGAAGTCAGAAAGCACGTATAACATCAACATTAACTTCTATTTGACATTAGTAAGTAAATTTTGTTAACTTTGGTCTTGTTTTTACTTGTTTAAGTAACCACAGTGAAACAAACGTTACTTTTATCAAACAGACTTTATATTGTTTACACATGCATATATAAAAACATAAAATCGCATTTTTATGACAATAGAATGATGTGCATTTGATTCCTAATTAAAAAAATCGATTTTACATGTAAGTTTAAATTCCGTGATAAAGTTCATAAATAAGCGAGAGTGAAACATACGTTACTCCAACTTACCATTCAACACTTTTTGAAAATTAAAGATAAAGTTGGGATTAGCATGCCTGTTAGTAACGGTTACCTTGTATAAGATGTAAGAAGACACAAAATTGTTTTTACAAAGGAAAGATATGTTAATAATATGTTGATGTACCAGCAAAAATGTTAAAAATATATTACAAGATATTGATGTTCTCAGCAACAACTAATTCGTTTCTGCAAAGAGCTTACTGGCTGTATTTCATTCTATATATAATAATGTTAAAATAATATCCATAAATATAAATTATTTTACAAAAAATAAAATTGTTTTCTCAACCTTTACTTGCATTTGAATAAAATGAAACATACGTGACATCCTATATGGGGATAAATATCGAACTGTTTAGTACTAAATTTTCCAAATATTAAGAAAGTGGAAAATTGAATATTTTGAGAAAAAAAATTGCTAATACAAAAATTGTGTATGCATTCGACCTCTCATATATTATATATGATATATATCCTTTGAATGAAGACATAAAATAATCATTTTCAAAATTGACTATTTTTGCTTTCTACGGTACAAATATTTAACTTTGGAGAAATTGACTGAAAATTAGCAAGGTACCCATCTTCATTGAATTTTCCTGGGTTAGAAAGTCCCTCTAGATAGAGAATTTACAGATTTTGATATATTTTACAGACATTTGTTATTAATATGCAGCCAATATGTTACATTATTAGATCTGAAATCTACGTTACCGAAGAAATACAGTGTCATTACCGAAATAAATGCCATCCTGTTATATCATAGTTTCTTGTTTAAAACATTTCTGGCAAACTTGCAAAATACCCTAAACATTTACTTCAGCGATAAAAAATGACACAATGACAACATCAAATTTTTAATATTTTTCAACCTCAAATGCTTTATTTTATTGAGAATGGGCGTTAAGCACTGCACACCTCCTGAGTGAGATATATCCCCCTATGACGTTTCATGTCGATATCTCAAAGGTTTTTTAAGTTATGCTCTGGACAAAAATTTAGTTTGAATAATAAAGGGCAAGATTTCAAAATTATGCAGGGTAGAGTTATCATTCTTTTGTACTGCACTCTTTCTCAATATGATCTATCCATCTATGAAGTTTCATGTTGATATCTTAAATACTTTTTGAGATATGCTCCGGACAAAACAGTCGAACGGAAGGACGGACGGACAGACGAAGACTATTTCTATATCCCCGCCACATTTCGGCAGGTGATAAAAACATGCCATAAATATCCATTCTTGTTACATGTACAAATAACATTGTCTCAGTTATATCTATTACATTGACTCCAATGGTACAGGTATATATAACATTGTCTAAGCTATATGTTACTAAAGGTGGATTGTCTATGAATGGTACATGCATATATTATACTGTAACATATATATATTACAAATGGTAAATGCAAATGTTACATTGTCTTTGATATATATTACAAATGATGTATATACATGTATTAACT